TCCCACATATATATATATATATATATATATATATATATATATATATATATATATATATATATATATATATATATATATATATATATATATATATATATATATATATATATATGTTAGTTGTGTAATTGTACACTCTGTAATATGTTAAGATGAAAATGTTCTAGAGTGTGTATTATATAATTTCCATACCCAGCGCAAGCAGAGACCCAGCCGCGGCAGACAACATCTTTCTGCTTGCGCTGGGTATGGAAATTATATAATACACACTCTAGAACATTTTCATCTTAATATATATGTATATGAAATGGCACATGCGCAAGCGTCACGCAAACGTATCACGGATGCATGGCACGCGCAAAACATTAGACGTTTCCAGCCCCTGTCTTTCGGATTGTCTATGGTCTCAGCCATGCACAGTCACTACTAAGGACATGCGCGAGTCAAAGACAAATTCAAGGTAAAAGGTTATAACTTAAACTGCATAACGTAGTCTTAATAAATAGCTAATTTATGAGAGGCATTTTAATTGGTGCCATATCAATATAAAATTTATCGAACAACAGTCCGTGAAAACTGTAGTGTGAAATATGATATTGTTATTATTGTATTTGTAAAGCCTAATGGCGCAATAAGGATAAAAATACCACTGTTCGATTCAGCGTAAGAAATTGTACTTACGGATGCCAAATGTTTTAGTAAACACCCGTATTCTAGCGATTTATGGCCTTTGAAAATCAAGCGAAATTGTAGTGACAAATCGCTCGCAGTACGGACCGGTATTGTTGACAAATCACTCGCAGTACGTTTGTCCTTGTATTTGTATTTGTATTGCCTATTAGCGCAATAAGACTGAAAATACCACCGTTCGATTCAGCGTAGGAAATTGTACTTACAGATGTCAACTGTATTACTATAAAACACCAGTATTCTAACGATTTATGGCCTTTGAAAATCAAGCGAAATTGTATTGCTGACAAATCGCTCGCAGTACGTATTTGTTGACAAATCACTCGCCGTTTGTCCGACCTTGTATTTGTAATGCCTATAAATGACGCTATAAGGATAATAGCACTGTTTGATTCAGCGTAAGAAATTGTACTTACGAATGAGATATTGTAGCTACCTACGGATGTCAACTGTATTACTAAACATTATAACAATTATAAAAATGCAGTACGTTTGATCCTTGATAACTTTGGTATAGTTGGTTTTCTCTTTTTTGGCCGCGTATACCAGTGGAGTCGTCTCACTTCTCTCTTCATTTTGATAACATTTTGAGCCCAAAAGCCCCAAAATATTTTATTTTGAACGTTTTAAACTGGCGACCGACAGAAGAATGTAGCCTACTATAAAATATAACTTTACTTGGGGGCATGCATAAACGCCGGAAGTTTATTTGAAAGGTACCGCATTTTAGTGTGTTTTAAAAGTCTTTCGCGTTCGTGTTCGACTTTTCCGCTTAGTACTGTATGTATCATACACAGTAATGTGCGTATTTGTATAGCCCCAGCGAGTTAACGCTCCACAGAGCGTCTTGTTTACTTCAAAACATGCGAAAGAGTGGTTTTCGAAGCCAGCTTTTTTGCCAAATGTGCTTCACTGACTTCACTCTTCTGTCAACTCGATAGCATTATTTTCACGAATTGTCGAATATATTTCGCACAAACTCACTTTCCTCATCCCCTATTCTAAAAGTATAACTTTGAATTAAACCAATTTAGTGCCAAACCAGGGCGAAGGGAGAGAGGGCGTGGAAACGGCCATACAAGTCTTGGGACCATCTGTGATGCGGGATTTGCGGGGCGTAAGACGCTCTAATTGTAAACAAATATGGCGACGCGTATATGACCCATCAGAAGGTATGCTGGAACTATTGCTTTATAAAATATTACTTGTGTAAAATTTATATGTTTTTGTTACTTTTAGCTATTATAAGAAACTTAAAGATAAGATTTAAGTAACGAAAAACCTTATTTCGGGTGTTATTTTATTTCTGTACTCTGTTTAATTTGGTGTTTAAAAATGGCCGTCGAAATGTTGTAAGAGAGTGTTAGCGTGCACTGCTTCCTGATAAAAAACCAATGATTTCCAAATCCTAAATTATAGTCCGTTATTAAGTTGATGAAAACCTTTGCGTAGACAAAATTATAGAGTGAGCAAACATGAGACAGATAGGTTTTGAGCCTCTCCAAGTTCGATGTCGAATTGACAGTTGAAATAGTACGAAACTCCAACCTGAAATGTGCAACTTTATCGTGTATATTTTTGTCAATTTTGTTTACTGGCCTTTGTTAAATTCACTTGTAATGGCTCGATATACAAACTGAGCAGAGCCCATGAAAAAGCTATCCATACCCCTACAGTCATTCAGCTTCCTTGCTATTAATTTAGAAGTTGTTGCCCATTAGTTGAAGAAGAAATGCTATTGTATGCGCTTGTTTGCACTTCCTTTCCTGAAAATGGTTACAATATTAAGGTTAAATAGCAGAGAAATATGATCCAATAATCCACGCAATTGAAAATGTCTATAAAATTAACTTCAAAAATCATGATTTGAAGAATTATATCTATCAGGCAACCCATAATTTAGTGACAGGTCTTGGGATGGGTTACTACAAATTTATAATAGATGTTTACATGAGACCGGGGCAAAAATAACTCAGACCAGTCTCAAGTCATTCCGCCTGCTGGACCGAGCCGACTGACTTCAGACCAGCATGAATTCAGACCGGAATGAATGTAAACACAAATATATTTCAGAACGGTCTCGGATATAACCTTGACATTGGAACTGTAAGTGAACAACACATGCCAACAAAATTAAGCCATCTAAAAAAGAAAATTGCCTGGCAAGGGGAGAATAAATTGAAAATTTTGTGATTTTCATACCAGTCTCATGTAAAAATGTTGACAATTTCAATTTTCACTCCACTTTGGTTTAAACCCGGTCTCATGTAAACAGGGTCTTACAAACTGTGATTCAGTATCATGGGATGAGATTAAGGAATTGAAAGATTTTATAAGTGAGCAATGTTTAAAAGCAATATATATAAACAATGAAAGAAATGGCACTAACAGAGCCACAACTTATCCAGAAAAGTGTAAAATCCTATGATACTGAATCACAGTTTGTGAGACAGTCCTTCAAAAGTTAGCTGAATGTTTCCAAAACTTCAGTCAATATAGTTTTGTAGTACACCCATCTAAGGGTTCCTTTTAGCTTTCACCTCGCCAAGACCTGTCACTAAATTATGGGTTGACTGATAGATATAATTCCTCAAATCATGATTTTTGAAGTTAATTTTATAGACATTTTCAATTGCATGGATTATTGGGTCATATTTCTCTGCTATTTAGCTTTATTGTAGCCAAATGGGCAACAACTTCTAAATAGTAAGAAGCTGAATGACTGTAGGGGTATGGATAGCTTTCTCATGGGCTCTGCTCAGTTTGTATGTTGTAACTTATGTCGAGCCATTACAAGTGAATTTAACAAAGGCCAGTAAACAAAATTGACAAAAATATACACAATAAAGTTGCACATTTCAGGTTGGAGTTTCGTACTATTTCAACTGTCAATTCGACATCAAACTTTAGGAGGCTCAATACCTATCTGTCTCATGTTTGCTCACTCTATAATTTTGTCTACGCAAAGGTTTTCATCATAACTTAATAACAAACTATAATTTAGGTTTGGGAAGTCATTGTTTTTTTTTATCAGGAAGCAGTGCGCGCCAACGTTCTCTTACAACATCTCGATGGCCATTTTTAAACACCAAATTAAACAGAGTACAGAAATAAAATGACAAACGAAATAAAGTTTTTCGTTACTTAAATCTTATCTTTAAGTTTCTTATAATAGCTAAAAGTAACAAAAACATATAAATTTTACACAAGTAATATTTTATAAAGCAATATTTCCAGCATACCTTCTGATGGGTCATATACGCGTCGCCATATTTGTTTACAATTAGAGCGTCTTACCCCCCGCGAAGCCCGCATCACGGATGGCCGTTTCCACGCCCTCTCTCCCTTCGCCCTGTGCCAAACATAAAGCAGTAAAATGAAAGCTTCGTGTGAAATTTACATTTTTCGCCCGCCACAGACAGGTGCTAGTGATCCCCTCCCTGTTTGCTATTTCGCCTTTCCAAATGTTATTTGTAACTGATTTATCCTTTTTTCGTTGTGTTTTTTTTCTTCAAATTATAGGTCTACACACATTATCACACCCAATTGACATGATGTCGTTACCTATGGACCAAAGAAAGGTATAGATTACCCTTACTTATCTCAGAAAATCGAGAATTTTTCCTCATAAATATTGGTCATACACGGGGATTGTACAGATTGTACGTACCTTCTTTTGTATTTAATTGATAACTTAACTACCATTTTTATAGAATGGTTTCAGACTCGTTTAAAGCATGTATCAAACAAAGTATCATCCTCGCCTTTAGTGGAAGCGATTTAGTAAAACGATGCCGCTTAGTTGTGTAAATTTGCTATGTTATTTTATAGTCTAATTGAATACTTAAATTTTCTTTTTCAAACTTTAATGTTTTTGTTGACTGGTCTGAAAAACAGGGGCGGATCCAGGATTTTTCGTACGTTAGTCAAAGTTTTCGGATGTACAATCTAGTTTTGCGGGCGGCGAATGCGCGAGGCACCTAGGGGGGTCTGTCCCCCAGGAATTTTTATATTTTTAAACCTCCGAAACGCAATTTGCATCACTCTGAAAGCAGCTTCAACAATTAACTTCATGAAATGGGAGATAATTATAGCAACTATCAGTCTGACTGACTCTCACAACTCGCTCCTTAGGGAAAAGTAAAGGAGAAGTACTTGCAGAAATGTGATAATTGTGGAAGATGTTTCATTTTATCAAATTACGGATTGCTAGTATTATGTTTAACTATCTCATGATAGCACTGCACTCATTTTTGTTGCCTAATAGCCTTGTTGAGTCATTGATCACTTGACTAGTAATCACTACAGTGTCATATTACTCAAATAAACATATATCAATATTAAAGTCTTAACATTCATCTATAAAACCTGACCTTTATATCCTATGTACACTGCGTTAATGCATTTATATAGGTTATCCTCCATATTAATAGCCTTCTGAGTTCTGACGGACCTTCAACCGCAGAATTACAAATATGCAATTTGTTGTGTAAATCAAAATTCATAGCTAAATCTAAATCAAGATACGCGTATTCAAGTTACAATTTTACATATGCATGGCGCGCATCTTGTTCGCTTATAAATATTGTTATGCTGTCTAAAACGAAATAAAATTTACATATCACATTTAATTTACCTTATTGCACTTCAGAATAAAGATCTCGGCGCCAATACTTCTACTCAAACAGTCAAACTGTAGTTCGTGCTATTCGTGGCGCTTACGCCGCTTAGCAACTGCTCACTGAATGGAACTCTCCGATATTTAGCGTTGATTTTCCTCCCAAGATCAGCGCAACAGTCTTGTAAGACAGCTAAATCATTCACTGCAAATGCGGATTGAACCGTTTCGTGAATACTACAAGGACTGGAGTCTGGAGCAGCAGACATTTCCGAATTTTCCGTAGATATCTTTAAATTGAATCTTCCGACAAAGCTACAACATGACACTTCGAATGAGCGCGCGCTCGGAAAGACTTTACCACGCGTCAAATATTAATGATATTCCGACTAATGGAGCGCCCCTGACTTTTGTAAATCGGTCAGAACTCCCCACAGATCAGTCAAAATCGCAAAAAATCGCTTGTTACCATGGCAATAAGCGTCTAGACCAATCAAAACACTGGATTTTGACTTTTTGACTGACCGACTTTGCGTATGTCAGCTGTTCATTGACTTGACTAAGCTCGTCGGCTCAACCACTGTATGAAATTTGATCACTGGACTACAGTTCGATTGGAATGTTAATTGCTAGCGCTGCATGATAATAGATACTGGACTATTATAAGATGTCGCTGCATGATAAAAAATAACTGGACTATTGGTCGAATATTTAAGACTTTAATTAAGTTTGCAATTTTTACGTTAGTCGCGTGACTGGTTTGACGACCCCTAAATCCGCCCCTGCTGAAAAACTAGTAAGCACTATTTAAAAACCTTATTAAAAGGGATTCAGTCGATTTATTGGCCGTTTTTATACTAGAGACGCATTATGCGTCTAGACGCATAATCCGTCTTCTAAATGAATACGAATAATCGGACGAACTTTCAGCATTTATTGTTCGTCTGGTATTATGCGTCCCCAGTATAAAGAAGGGCACAAGACGCATTATGCGTCTAGACGAAGTATCATTGGTTGTGTGTCTCTTAATTGGTGACGCATAACCAGACGAACAACAAATGCTTGCCCAAGTTCGTCCAGACGCATAATGCGTCTCTAGTATAAAAACAGCCATTAATTCTAAAAATTCCTAAATCAAAATTAATCAATTCAAAAAAATCGTCAAAATATTCCTACACCCATCCATCGGCTGAACAAGCGAAATCGAATTAAAATATTTATACATGCTATAGTGACTTTGTTTCCACCCCATAGTTGCTAGCATAAGCTGAAATATTCGGGAAAAATGTTAATAACGTTAATAACGAACCACGATGGGTGCGATTGTTACGTTGTAAAAATAATTTGTTTTCCTTACCCTCAAAAAATGAATCTTCAATAATTTTAGCGTCATAATTTGTTAATTAAAAAATGAAAAAGTTGCATCTGTGCTGATTTCTCGATAATAAACACAGGAATACATATAGAAACCTAGAAATTCAAATTTCCACACCTTGTTAGGCAAAACCAGGATTTTAGTTTACCCAAAGCATGCAAATAAAGGCATATGATTGGTTTGTACTATTGTTCCACCCTTCTGTTATTTTGTTATATATAAGTCATTCTACAAGATATTTGAGTCTAGTTCGCTGATGCTGTCCCATGTACATGAACATTCTTCATGCAGATTAGTGTTCCAAGCTACACTGCATGATGGCTGCAGAACGGCAACATTACGTGTCAGTACTATGAACGCCCCTTCACTTCCGTGCCGTTGAGCATTCTGTGAATACGTGTGAAAACCATGCATTAGCGATTATACAACACTCACTATACGCGTGAAGTTTGAGTACTCTGGGCCCTTGCGCACTATCTGAATGTATTTTTTGCCACCGACAGCATCGTTCAGATTAATTAATCCAAGAATGATATTTTTTGCACATGAAAATATTATCCGCATATGAAAATATTATGGCAATTAATATTTTCCCAGTTCTTCAAAGTGGTCATCGGTTATACTACGTGGTTTTTACAAGATATCTCGAAGAATGTTAGAATTTTAGAGGTCATTGCACATGTTTTTTTCTAAAATTACAAGGAATGGTCACATTTTAATGATGTATTTGCTATATACAGTGGAAAAATCATTCTACATTGTAGTGTACTTTGTGTGACATATTTAACGTTTTAAGATAGGCGGTAAAATAATTATTTTATGTGAATAATTCTGATGCTATTTGTAATTACAACGAAACGAATCGTACCTACCATATACTAGTAATAACGAAGTATTAGAAATCTTACCAAGCGTTAAGTTGTTGGGCCTCACAATAAACAACAACTTGAAATGGAAGAACCATGTAACTGAAATTATTAAGAAAGCTGCACGCCGAATCTATTTTTAATCCAGCTAAAGAGAGCTAATGTTCCTTCTGTAGACCTTGCTCTATTTTATAAATATATCATGCATAAGATCTGTTGTGGATTTTACAGCGGCTGTGTTCCACTATTCCTTACCCCAATATCTCTTAGTCGATTTGGAACGTATACAGAAAAGAGCACTATCAATTATTTTCCCCTCTTATCCATATAAAGACGCGTGTAAAATTCTTAACTTGGATGATCTTGGAACCCATCACGACAAATTGTGTTCTAACCTGTTTGAAAACATTCTCAAAGACCAGCATCATAAACTTTATGATCTTTTGCCAGAACGTTGCGAAAATACTAAATATAACTTACGGCATCCTAGGATGTTTGATTTGCCAAAATATCGAACTAATAGGTTCCGAGACACTTTTATCGTACAGAGTTGCATTAGGAAGAACGCAGAAAAACTTTTAGATGATACTGACAGTTAGTTGTTTTTAAATTTAGTAATATTGATAATAATATAACATTTTTGTAAATAACTTCTTCATTACGCAATTCAGCTTTTTAGCTGCTATGTAATTTTTTAATAAACCAATCAACAATTAATATACTGTCATTTATTATATGGACAAGCGTCGGATATGCGCTATGCTACAGTCTGATTGGTTTTCAACCAGCAGTATATATTAGCTGATATCCTGTTAGTAGAGAAATCAAGATAGCGGCGAAAAATATAACCAAGAATTTCGAATAGGGAAAAACAACAACATTTTAGTCGTAAAATGTATAAAAATACTATGAAAACACTTAAATTAAAGCAATTGTCTTAATATTTTAAAATAAATACTTAATATTTAAACTGGTTAAAAAGAATATTTTTTGAAATAGTTGATGCTGAAAAGGCGACGACAAGGACACGAAGAGTATATTCATTGGCATAATTGTTAAGAAAAGGTCGAAATATACAGCGAAACTGAGTCGGTGAAGCAGTAGTTGTCTATATAATAAAACACTCACTCTCTTCGTATGGGCTTTATAGCCAATTCGGCGCTATGCGCCTCGTCGGCTATCAGCTCATGTACGACTCAAGTTCGTAGAATAACTGTTAAATATACAGCCCTTCATTGATCTATAAAAACAAGTTGTTGTGTACAGTTTTAATGATAAAATGTTCGTGGTCATTATTTTAGATAGACTTGAAGCTTCTCTTGGATACAATGAAAATTGAATCTCCAAACAGTCCGACAGCAAAGAAGAACAAAGTATTGTATCTATTTCTTAAAGGAGAAGAAATGCGTTCTGAGGAAAATATTGTCATGGCAAAACTGTACTTAGAAAAAGCCAGGGAGTTAGGTGCTGGTGTGGCGGATCAATTTGTCAAAGCTGGTATTTTGGAGAGTTTAGGTTACTGTTATTCAGCGGGTGCTGAGTACGAAAAAGCTATAAAAACGACCAATGATGCTATAGCTGCATTTAAGCGCCTTTCAGGAGAAAGGGGACAGTTGGGCCAAGGTAATTGCCTTGTTTCCGTTGGAACTATATTTAAAAACCTTGGTAAGTATGAAGAGGCCATGCCATATTACGAGAATGGTTTGGAGATTTTGTTAAGGCTGCGAAACAAAAATCCTTTGGTAGTTGACTATGAAACGATTTTGGGCAATGCCTATGCGAACATGGGAGAATTCCACAATGAAATAAAAAAGCACGAACAAGCCATAGAATTGTGTCAAGAAGCTTTAAAAATATTCAAAAAAACAGGGAACAAACTTGAAGAGGCCAGGGCCCTACATAACACAGGGATTGCGTATACTGGGATGGGAAATTTCAAGCAATCTATCGAGTACTGTGAAAAAAGCGCCCATATTTTCAAGAATATTGGCAACAAACAAGGCCTGTTCGATTCTTATCAAGTCTTAGCAAACAATTACCGCTACATAGGTAAAATAGACATTTCTAAACGTTATTTCGAGAGCTGCATCGCGAACGACATTCACCGCGACATGAAACAGTTGACTGACTTGGCCATGTTATATGGAAATATGGGACTTTTGGACTACGAAATGGCGCTAGTGGAATTTTTTAGTGTAAGTGATGCTAAAGAATCATTCGAACGCTGTATTGATTCCTTTAAACTGTCTATTGAAACAACCGATAAAATTTTGGATCGTCTATCAGAAGACAGTAATTTGACTGCATTTTCAGATAGATTTTACCGTTGGTATGACCATCTTACTGCTCCTTTCATTCTGTCAGGAAGATCGACGGCTGCATTGTTATTTCTAGATTTGGGAAGGGCAAAAATATTGAGAAACCTTGTTTACCACCAGCAAGTAAAACGCCAAGTGGGGGATAAGGTTAAGTCGAATTTTGAATCATCGTGGAAAACCATCGAAAATGGTAATGAGAAGGAAATAATTTGCAGCCTCACTCGTGAAATTCAATTATCGGAATCTAATGCAACTGTGCTTTTCTACAATTTCAACCGCGCTGGTATCTTTACGATTTGGGTATTAGACGCCTGTGGATGTGTGTCTTTGAAAAGCTCAGACCCAATAGACACTAATTTCTCAACATCTTACGAGGAACTGGTAGACAACATCAAAACGGTGCTTGAGAAAACATCCGTTCGACTTTCACGCGAGTACTCTTTTTTCGACCACTTGAAGGGTTTTGATTCGGAAGAGATGAATGCAAACGATTTCACCTGTAGACCACGTTCCAGTGAAGAAAAAGTAAGAGAAGGGACAAATCACAACGCTAAAAAAGAGAAAATGAAAGACGGGAAGAATGAGTTCAGAGCACCCGCAAAAAAGGTTGAGGAATCATGCCATGGTGATTTAACCAAAGAAGCACGCTCCCGTTTATACAAAGCATTGATTGATCCCGTGAAGAGTTTGATAAAAGGAACTAAGCTCATTCTTGTTCCACAACGAAGTCTTTTCTTTGTGCCTTTTTCGTCGCTTGTCGACGAAAATGGCAGCCTCTTGTCGGAGAAATACCAAATCCAAATTATTCCCTCAGTTCACGTGCTCGCGTCAAGCATGCAGACATCGTCAGGCAAGCGAATTGGAGGTTCTTTGTTTGTCGGAAACCCGAACTGTGAAAGTGTTCAGCTGCCATCTCTACCGTCAGCAGCAGACGAAGTCGAATATCTTGCATCACTTCTAGGTGCGAAGCCACTTACCGAACACAGGGCATCAAAAAGTAAAGTGATGAATCTTATGTCTGATGCGTCCATTATTCATATTGCCGCCCATGGTCAGGAAGGAACTGGACACATTTTCCTTGCTCCTGAATCTAGAAAATCAAACGACGGCGCTCACCCAACTTCATCGTCCCATCTTCTCACACAAAGCGATGTTCTAAAGTGCAAGTTGTCTGCTCGTCTGGTGGTGCTTTCGTGTTGCCACTCTGGCAAGGGAAAGCTATCTTCCGAGGGCGTTTTGGGCATTGCCAGATCATTCCTTGGGGCTGGTGCCAAGTCGGTTCTGGTTACACTGTGGGCTATCAACGACTTGTTCACACAAAAATTCATGAAAGTTTTCTACGAAAAGATTTTAGAGGAAAAATCGGCTTGTTTGGCGTTGAAAGAAACCATGAATTACTTCCAGAAGATTAGACAGTATGATTCATTTCTGTACTGGGCTGCGTTTGAAATCCTCGGGGAAGATGTAAGTTTCACTAAAGGCGAAATCGCGGAAATTCAAAGAAGGAATAAGGATGTAAAACTCGTTTAGTTTTCTTCAACTAAACTAACGTACTACAGTATGTTAAGTAACTCGTTAATATAAACGTTTGAATTGTTTGGAAATACTTAAAGAATTCTGTGAATGAAATTATATTTGGTAAAAGACATCGACTTTGGTTGTAAAATATATTAGACCACCGAACTGTCAAGATAATGTTATCGTGTGCGTAATTTCAGCGGTATGATTTTCAAGTAGGCCTTATAGCGAATAAGGACTGAATATGCTGACCATTTCATCAGTAGTAGCCAAAGTTGACTTTTAGAACAGAGGGGACTTCTGTCTACGCATGCGCGAGAAACGTAAGCGTGGAGTGCATTGAGCGCGGGTTGATCGCGTGACTGAATTCTAAAAACAAACACCAAATTTGCCAAAACTACTCGTGTTATGAAGTCGTTTTCTTGTTTTTTAGTACTTCTACGCTTACAATTTTAGGCATTTTCGACTTAGAAGTGTTTCGACTAAGAACGTGAAAGTAGAAATAAAAACTTTGTTGCAGCAGTTTAATTTCACCGTACAAATATACCTGATTTATATGTATATCTTTTTCGAAGTGAGATATACAAGTGCAAATTGAACTTCTTTAATTCGTACTTGCCTATTCTTGACCCCATAAAAACTACTTTTATCTATGGAGAAACTATTTGACTTTAAAAATAAGTTGGAATTATGGAGGTGATATAGGCTAGTTTCTTTGCAAACAGTTATTCAGTGCTCGGTAGTGTACTTGTTATATATGAAGAAAAATCTAAAATGATTTCAACATCCATCAGCAAAAAGCAATCGCGCTTATTACTACTCGTTAGAAGATAGACAATTAATTTAATTCACTAGAAACCCGTTCTACAATATAAACTAGAAATCGGCCAACATATTGTCACGAAATACTACAATTAAAATATAGGGTCTCAAAACTACCGATTTCACCGAACGGTCAAGTTTCTCTGCAAAGATCGCCCTTTTACCCAATTTTCATAGAGTAGATCGTCGTATTATCGAGTCAAAGGATTATGTATACTTTAACATTAAAGAATAAAAAAACTCGAGATAAAGAGTAGATATTAAATAAAATACGAATATCTGTATCAAAAGATATGAGCGTTATTAGGTGAAGCACTCGATACTTTTTCCAACAACATATTGGGCTTATTTTTTACAAAATTAAAAATATTCACACATAAAAGATATGAAAATCAATGGTGGGTTGACTACAAATTTTTTGTAGTTCGCTATAACTACAGCTACTTCAAAAACATGTAGTCAGCTACAACTACTGCTGGTACTTTTTGAAAAGGTAGTTCGCTACTGACTACAGCTACTGCTTAAGAAATGTAGCGAACCATTTCGCTATTTCGCTACGCTATATTTTTTAATTTTACTGTATTTGGAGCATATATTAACTCAGGTTTGAATGTAACCTATGGCTATAACAAATTGATTTACGAGTAACAACAGTAAATACGAAGCAACATTTTTGAAAGCACTATACAGTGTTGAGGCGTGCAAATTGACTATTGAGTATTGATTTTAAGCACGCCGTGTCTCAATATTATGCTACTCTATAATAATAATATAATAATAGTTTTTTTCATCCATCTTCAGTGTAAAAATACAAAGGATTTTACAGTTAGTAAAATCTAAGTAGTAGTCTAAGAGTTATACTGTATGTACAGATAAAATTTTTTTAGGAGTAGTTATAAAAATATTGTCTATAATAGCGAGTTTGTTCTGGGATAGTTCATGCCTTTTAGTGTATGAGAAAAATCGGGGAAGAGTTTTTGGTGTTGTTAAGTCAAACGTGTTCGTCACTATGTCAGGTATATATTTCATGCATGGATGCGTTTCATCATTAATGATTTTCTTGTACTCGCGAATGGCAAAATTATCCCGACGTTGCTCTAGAGAGCCGCTAACAATTTTAAAAAGTAGCGACTAGCGATTCGCTGTTTGAAAAGTAGCCAACTTCTTGGCTACTTTAAGGCAAAATATAGTTCGCAAAATCTACAGCTACTGTTTTAAAAAAGTAGTTAAAAACTACTGGCTACTTGAAAATTGTAGTTCGCTACAGTAGCGAACTCGACGAAGTATTCAGGATATTTCATAGCCAGTTTAAACGCCGGTGAGCACTATCCTTGTGAATTATGATGCCCAACACACCGGGTAACAAAATTTACTACTTCGTTCGGCTGTTTCAAATACACTTTTAAGATCAAGGTCCGATTATATCTTGTTCTTCGAAGCATTTGCTCAAAACAATCCAACATAAGTATCGCCACTCATCTTCTTCGTATGAAAATATAGGTTTTTCTTTCAATTTGTTTGCTTTAAAAACAGTCACTGGGTTGTTAAAGAGTTAGTCTGTAACTTCGAACGAAAAAAGCAAAGATGCTTTCAAAAACCAGTGAATCACAATGCTGTAAACTTCAACATCCTTAGAAATTGTGAGCAAAACATCGAAAAGAAAAATTTGCGGGAAAAAGCTCACGAGCCCGCACTATTTTCATGCAGCGTCGACGAAAGTCCCCTCTGTTGACTTTTAGTTTTTTTTAGTTTAATTTACAGGCAAATAGATGCGGTGCATGTACTATTCTGTTCTGGAAATGCTTATGTTTTAAAGTCCGTAGCTTTTATCAAACAGACCAACTAAACCAATTAGAAATGCTAAAAGCGATCTTAAAGTAAGTGTAATTAAATACCATGCATTGTTGTAAATCGAATATATATTCATATAATAATAAACTATAAATAGGACGCTAGTTTTGTCCAACGTAACCGATAATAGTGTCCATCTTTCTTTCGATATATCAGAATAACCTTGTCGACAACGCATGATCCTTGAAAATAATCTTTGGTATGTATTATTGTGGAAAACGTGGGGAGGGAGGAACGATGTATGACCAACTCTGTAAAGTATCTTCAAAAGTATCTTTAATATAAGATTCTAGATTTAAACATTTTTCAGGGCAGCATACCCCACGGACCTCTACATACCTTTACATTGATATGATTAATTAACTATTTACAGCGTTTGGCGCCAAAAGTTACTAAATCCCATCGCTTAAAAACTTTCGGAAATTTTCGGAAACACGAGAAAAAGTTAAAAACATTTTTAATCACAGTATAGGGATTACTGTGTTTTTAATTAAAGACAATTGATAATTCATTCAAAATTAAAAAATGGTGAAACCTTCTTCTGCATTAATGCGCTTGGATGAATATTTAAATTTTTCGGGGGAAAAATCCTTAGATTTCCTTAGATTTTTTCTATGAACGTACAGAGCTGCAATGTTGACATTATTGACACTAGCACACACGTGACTAGAAAGTTAGTTAAGTATTTTTAGAAGCACGAGGCTAGGGAACCGGGAAGTAATTGGATACGGACTATGCTGTTTGTACAAGTTGTTTGATATCTATTGTTATACTTAAAAGTGCTTGATATTGATACAAAACCACGAACATTACATTGGCGACGAGGTAAAAAAACACAAAAAAAACCAGCTATCGTTTATCAATACAAACGATTTTGAAATCTCTAGTTTACGAATACAGTCATGGGACTGGCCGAATCAATGTAGCTCCAATGGCGCCATTTGATCCTATGTCCGATCCAAACTCTCTCAGTCAGCGCTGGAAAACGTGGAAACGACGATTTGAAACATATCTTGTTGCTCTGAATGTGACTGAAAAGAAACAAAAGCGGGCTCTCTTGTTGTACCAAGCTGGCCAAGAGACTGAGGATATTTTTGATACCCTTGTTGACATCGGCGAAGACAACGATTATGATTCCGCTATCGCTGCCCTCGATACGTATTTTTCACCTAAAAACATGTCGATTTTGAAATTTTTAAGTTTCGTGAAGCCAAACAACAACCACATGAAACAATCGATCAGTTTTC